CCAGGGTACAACCCAGTGTGGGGGTCTCCTAGGCCCTGACCTCTCATGGGGGTTCTCTTGTATGGTCTGACAGAGCCTTTCTGTCAGTCAGTTCATACTTGCTAATGACCCTGAGCCTGTAATGGGTGTCTGGACTCACTGCGTCCCTGTGTGGTGGCCCAACCAGTCAGGAGTTCCACCAGCTAGCAGGGTCCCGGTGTTCCACCTCCATCTTTATTGTTGTGGATTCCATCAAGCCAGGTCTCCTAGGTGCTGTGGTTTCCAGTTGGAGGCTGGAGACTAGAATCGGACTGTCTGCCTCACCCAGACTGATCAGCTGCACGTCCTGGTTGGTGACTCCCTTCTAAACCCCAGTGTCCCCGAAGTGGCCGCCATCACAGGACACGGCTGTCTACCCACGTGTTAAGTCTCAGCTTTTTCCAGACATCTGATACATTGGTACTATGCAAACAACAGAAACGTTCACTCTTTCTCCAAATAGTGAAACAATTAGCTGCAAATGGAAGGACGTAGTGAGCAGCAATCTCTCATCTCAATGCTCCTTCAAAATTCTGTGTGCGCGTGCATGTGCACGCACATACATACATACATACATATATACATACACATACAGCATTATGTGTTTCCAGTGAACGTTTACATGGCAAATTAGGTTCCCATCTGACCCAGCTTACATGATCCTGAGACCAGAACTAGATGGTACCCAGCTACCGTCAACCACTTGAAAAGCAATCAAAGATCCTGGAAAAAGTGGGACAAAAATGTGGAACAAAACTCAAAATCATAAAAAAGACCAGGCTTCCTAGTCTGATGGAGACTGGTGAGATCCCCAAGATTATGGCCCCTAGTCACCCTTCAGGCTTGGAAATGAACTCCCGTGGCTTCCAGCCAAACAATAGACAGGAATATAAGGTGAACATTTACACTAGGTAGGTACAGTCTTTAGAACAAGCAGTCATGGGAAATGAGAAGTGCAGTGTTGGACAGGGAGACAGCTCAGAGGGCAGGAATGCACAGGAAAGAAGGACACAGGGAAAAGGTAGCCACAGGGAGGAAGTGGGAAGAGGGCTGTTACATTGTCAGGACTGCAGTCAATGCTATAAAACAAAATATGTATGAACTGTTGAATGGAAAAAAAAAATTTGCTCTGTAAACTTTTACCCAAATCACAATTTTAAAAACATCAGGTTCCCATCTGAAAATTTCTGCACAAATTGAGTGATATTTGTTACATTTTTCAGTGTCCACATTCTGTGTTCCATTTCCAGTGCTTGTTTTCCAGCTCTGCATCTTGTCATCTTTGATTTAGACCTGGAGTTAGAAAACCAAAAAGGAAGAACACACTCGGCATTTCTCAAGGTGAAAGAACAGAGGAAGAAACTCAAGCCTCGAGTTGCAATGTTGAAGGAGTCTATGGGCAAAATGTTGAATGATGCAGGAAACATCAAAAGACAATGGAAGGAATACAGAGTCACTGTACCAAAAAGAACTGGTCAACGTTCATCCATTTCAGGAGGCGACTTGTGAACAAGAACCAATGGTACTGAAGGAAGAAATCAAAGCTGCACTGAAGGAATTGGCGAAGAACAAGGCTCCAGGAATTGATGGAATACCCACTGAGATGTTTCAACAAACGGTGGCTGTGCTGCAGGCACTCACTCAACTATGCCGAGGGATGTGGAAGACAGCTCCTGGCCAACTGACTGGAAGAGATCCACATTTGTACCTATTTCAAAGACAGATGATCCCACAGAACATGGAAATTATCAAACAATGTCATTAATATCGCAAGTAAAATCTCACTGAAGATAATTCAAAAATTGTTGTAGCAATATATTGACAGAGAACTTCCAGAAGTTAAAACTGGATTCAGAAGAGGATGTGGAACAAGGGATATCATTGCTGATATCAGATGGATCTTGGCTGAAAGCAAGGAATACCAGAAAGACGTTTGTGTTTTACTGACTATGCAAAAGCATTCGATTGTGTGAATCATAACAAATTATGGATAACGTCGAGAAGAATAGGAATTCCAGAATGCTTGATTGTAGTCACAAGGAACCTGTATGTAGAACAGGAGTCTGTCATTCAAACGGAACAAGGGGACACTGCATGGTTTAAAATCAGGAGGGGAGTATGTCAGGGTTGTGTCCTTTCACCATACTTATTGAATCTATATGCTGAGCAAATAATCCAAGAAACTGCACTATATGAAGAAAAATGTGGCATCAGGATTGGAGGAAGGCTCATTAACAACCTGAGATAAACAGATGACACAACTTTGCTTGCTGAAAGAGATGACTTGACGTGCTTACTGATAAAAATTGAAGACTACAGTCCGCAGTATGGATTACATCTCAATATAAAGAAATATCCTCACAACTGGACCTGTAAGCAGCATCACAATAAATGGAGAAAGACTGAAGTTGCCAAAGACTTCATATTACTTGGTTCTACAATCAACACCAATGGAAACAGCAGTCAAGATATCAGACGTCGTCGTATGTTGTTGTTGTTGTTAAGTGCCGTCAAGTCGTTTCCGACTCATAGCGACCCCGTATAGCATTGGGCAAATCTGCTGCAAAAAACCTCTTTCAAGTGCTGAATAGCAAAGATGTCTCCTTGAAGACTAAGGTACGCCTAACAAAAGCCATGGTATTTTCAATTGCCTCATATGCATGTGAGAGCTGGACAACGAATAAAGAAGACTCTAGAAGAGTTGATGCTTTTGAGTTGTGGTGTTGGCAATTACTGAAAGTACCATGGACTGCTAAAAGAACTAACAGATCTGTCCTGGAGGAAGTGCAGCCTGAATGCTCCTTGGAAGCGAGAATGGCCAGACTTCGTCTCACCTACTTTGGTCATGTTGTCAGAAGGGACCATTCCCTGGAGAAGGATATAATGCTTGGTAAAGTGGAGGGTCAATGAAAAAGGGGAAGGCCCTCAACAAGATGGATTGACACAAACTGGAGCTGTAGACTGATGGACTCAGGTGTAGCAAGGTTCATGGGGCCAGGCCAGGACCAGGCGTGTTTCGTTCTGCTGTACATGGGGTCGCTTCGAGTCGGAGCCGACTCGGCAGGACCTAACAGCAACAACACCCATGTCAACTTTTTGTCCTCTTGCAGATGGTGTTGAAGGAGCGTTGTACTCACAGATGGTCATGTTTTGTGTTCCAATCTCTCAATAAAAGGTGACTGTGGGGGAGCTCTGGTAGCATAGTGCCTAAGGCATTTGACTGCTAACTTGAAGCTTGGCAGTTCAAACCCACCAGCCACTCCTTGGAAGGAAGGTTGGGAAATCTACTTGCATAGTGATATTGCCTTGGAAACCCAAGGAGGGGCTATGCATTGGCCCCGACTCGATGGCAGTGAGTGGGTTTTTGGTTTGGTGGGGGAGAGTTTTGGTTCTCGGTTTAAAGAGGACCTCGGGTCAACGGCCTCCAGGAGTCAACTGGTCCAGTAAGTCTGGGCTTCTAAGAACTTGAGTTCTGTCCTTTCCATCAGGGTCCATCCATTGTGGCCCTGTCCTACCCAGGGGAACCCGTTTGCCTCTCCTCCGCCTGTTCCTTCGCTATCATGCCATCTGAAAATGCTTGCCCCGCAGCGTTTTGGTATTTTATATGTTCCCAAATCCTCCTGGCCCAGGGAGTTCATAGGGTTTTAATTGTGATTTGTGTGAAAGTTTACAGAGCAAATTCCTTTTCCATACAGCAGTTCATAATTTTTTTCATGACATTGACTGCAATCCCCACAATGTAACAGCTCTCCTCCCACTTCCTCTTCTCTGTGCCCTTCTATCCCATGCACTCCTGCCCCCCAAGCTGTCTCCCTGTGCAAATACTGCCTTTCTGTTCTCCCATAATTGATCGTTCTAAGGAGTGTATCTACCCCATACGAATGTTCACCCTATATGCCTGTCTGTTGTTTGGCTGGAAGCCACGGGAGTGAGTTCAGTTCCAGACCTGAAGGATAACTAGGGGTCATAGTCTTGGAGGTCTCACCAGGCTGCCAAACTCTGGGTGGTATTTGAACTCTGTCCTATTTACACTAGAAGTGGACTGAAACCTCAGACAGGCGGATGGGACCTTTCTGCCAGGCACCACTCCTGTTCTGTCAGCTGGCTGGAGTCCCATTGCCTCCCGGCTTCCCAGAGCACCCCCCTGATGGGGAGGGCCCCTTCAGGTTTGGCCCCCAGGGCCCAGCTTCCCCGCCAGTTCCCAGTGGGAAGGAGGAGGGTGGTGCCCCCAAGGCTGTACCCCTGCAGCCTTAGAGGGTGGGCAGAGTTAGGCAAGATGGGCGTAGGCAGGGCCCATTCCTGATGCTTCCAGGGAAAGGGAGGGCTTGGGCCCTGCCCACCTGACCTGGAAACACAAACGGACAGACAACTCGCCCAGGGTCCACTCTGTGGTCCAACTGGAGGCCTTCTGCGTAGGTAGGCCGCACGGCCCCGCCCCATCCCACCTGCCCCCATCCCCAGAACCTGACACCTTACAACCCACCAGGTCATCTCTTCCCACAGTCCCTCCCCAACTGAGAGCACCACCCCCACACGCTCAGATTGAGCCGGTGCAGAACACAGGGGTCAGGGCACAAGGGGGGCATGGAGGGCAGAGGGGCCTGACCTGCAGCAAGAGAGAGGGGCAGGAGCCCCCAGTGATGGTGGGAGTCCCGTGGCTGGGGATTTGGTTGCTCCAAGTGCAGAAACCACTTGGGCTGAAGGGAGGGGCAGGGAGGGCGGTGGTGCAGACACATCGGGTGGAGGGGCTGTGGAGGCAAGCAGCAGCCAGATAGTGGCCGTGGGGCTGAAGTGAGACATCCAGGCCCAGCAGGACGGAGCGCAGGGCCCTCAGAAGAGCAGGTTTGGGTGGCAAGTTTGGCTTTGGAAGTGTTTCCTTGGGGATGGGGTTGCCCCCAAATCGTGAACAGGATTTGAGAAGGTGCCTGTGGAGCCAGGGCTTGTGTGGTGGGATTTCGGGGGCACTCCGCTCCCTCCCACACGCAAGTGTCATCCTGGGCCAGGCTCAGGCAGCATCTAGCCAGGATGTGGGCTCTGGAGCCATGCTGCGCATTGTGCAGGTGTGGGGGTCAGAGAGGGTCTGGGCTGGAGCCACCTGGCCACAGCTGCCGCCCAGGCAAGGGCAGGGAGGCAGCGTGTGAGGAGCGAGGCTCATTGTTTTTGAGGAAGGATGGGCAGAGGGCCCTGGGGGACACAAGGAGGGTGAGGGGCCTCAGGAGCTGGGAAGGAGAGGGCCCTGCTCAGCCCAGGCACTGCTGGGAGGCCAAGTAAGCAAACGGTCAGCAGCTCGTGGAGTCCCACGGGGAGGACGGAGCACCGGTGTGCTAAAGACCAGAAGCGGGTGTTTGGGCACCAGAGGCAGTGATGAGCCCAGGAGTGCGGAGGAAGGGCCTGGAGATGACCACCCAGGTGGCAGCAAGGGACTGAGGTTCAGGCAGAAGGAGCCCTGGACCTCTGCTGAGTAGAGGCCACAGCCACCTACAGACTTGGGGGGGGGGCTTTGAGCAGATTTCTCCACTCTGCTTAGGGCAGGGGGCCAGTTTAGGGGACCGAGGCTGTTAGAGAGCAAGAAAGGGCCGGGACCTCAGACACCCAGCAGGGTGTGAGGTAGCCTGGCAGGTGTGGGGCCAGGAGGCTGACAAGGAACCCTGGCCCTAAGTGAGAGGTGAGAAGTGCTGAGGCCCAGTGCCCCTGGGATGTGTGGTTTTCGGGTCCTACCAACGGGTGCTGCTCCAACCTGGGCCCCACACACAGGAGATGATGGGCAGATTACCCCGCCCCCAGAAGGAACCCTGGTGATGCAATGGTTAAAGCGCTCAGACACCAGCTGAAAGGTCTATGGTTGGAACCCAGCAGACGCTCTGTGGAAGGAAGATAGGCAAACTACCCACTGCCCTCCAGTCAGACTGACTCATAGCAACCCCTCCTTGAGTTTCAGAGGCAGTATCACTACTGAAGTAGATTGCCCTTCCTTCCTTCCTTCCGAGGAGTGGCTGGTGGGTTTGAACCGCCAGCCTTCTGGTTAGTAGTCAAGTGCCTTAGGCACTGTGCTACCACAGCTCTTTATGGCAAGCTGCTTCTGTAAAAATTTACAATTTTGGGAAGGCTATGGGGGCCGTTTTCTGTCCTACAGGGTCATGTCCCCTCGGCGGCCACAGGTTTGGGCCTGGTTTACAACCCCCAACCTTTTTTCAGAAGGCACTGCTAGCCTTCCCCAGCCACACCTCTGCAGGAGCAGGGACCGAAAACTGGGCGATGAAGGCCCCCAAGGAGGGGCCTTGTCCGGGCGCCACCGTCCCCTCCCTCGGCCCTGTGCCAGGACCCACCCCCACCCATTCTCCCCTCACCCCGCGGGTGTCCAGCTCGCTCCCAGACCCCGGATCTCTTCTGTCCCTCGCATCTGCCAGACAGGCTTCGCGATGTCGGGCTGGTGGTGATGGTGTTGGGTGTGTGGCCCGGGCCTTTGATATCGGCCAGGCGGGTGGGCGCAGGGAAGCCGCGGGTACCTGGCCGAGAATGGCGCCGCCGCCGGGATAACAGAACCACTGAAGTCAACCGGGTCAGCCTAGGCTCCCCGCCACTGGCTGGTGGAGGGGCGCAGCAGCACGCGCGCCCCGGGACTCCGCGCGCTCCGAGGGGCGCGCAGGGCCCTTCCAGCCGGCTCCCGAGGCACTGGGCCGCCGCCTCACCTTCGGGGAGCGACAGACACGAAGCCGCGAGGGTCGGGGAAAGGCCCGAGCAGAGCCCCGGCCGGCACGGGCTGGGAGCGGGGCCCGGCAGTTAGGAGCCGATGAGCCGCCGAGTCGGGGCGGGACGCGAGGGAGCGGGGACTGAGCCCGGCGCCCGCTGTTCGCGGCCCCGCGGGCTGCGCCGTCACCTCCCCGGGGTGGCCACGACCCAGGCGTCCGCGTGGCCTCGGCCAGCGCGGCGCCCGGAACGTGCACGCGGAACATTTTCGGGGGAAGCAGCCACCGGGGCTCGGACGCACGCGGCTTGTCCCAGACAAGGAATTTCGA